TGGTATAAGGAAGGTCAACGAAAGGGTGCCAAGACGATAAAGTGTTATATAGCGTTGTTCGTTTGCCTTGCCACTAAGGCGGTGCATATAGAATTGGCGGCGGATCTATCCGCGGAAACATTTTTAAATGTATTTAAGCGATTCATTTCTAGGAGAGGACATCCCGAGGACGTATATAACAGCTTAAATTTTGTAGGAGCAAGGCGCGAATTAAATGAATTATACGAGACGTTTAGCACTGATCTTAATAGACAAAAAATCACCGATTTTATGGCCGCTGAAAAAATAAGATGGCATTTTATTCCGCCTAGAGCTCCGCATATGGGTGGTATTTGGGAGGCCGCTGTTAAAAGCGCTAAATTTCATTTGAAGCGCGTCATTGATGAAGCGTCCTTAAGATATGATGAATTACACACGCTAATGACCCAGATCAAGGCTGTGTTAAACTTAAGACCGCTTGCACCTTTATCAAACAATCCTACTGACTTGAATGCGTTGACTCCAGCGCATTTTTTGATTGGATGCCCAATTATGGCGTATCCGGAACCTACCCTTGAGGCCTTACCGAGTAATAGATTGTCGCGATGGCAGCGAGTTGAAGCAGCAATTCTGGCGTCGCTGGACTAAGGAATATCTCCATAACTGCCAAACGCGCGTTAAATGGAATTCGACTGAAAATCCCATCAGAGTAGGTCAGATGGTATTATTACAAGAGGATAATATGCCGCCTTTATGCTGGGCTCTAGCTCGTATAGAGGAGATTCATCCTAGTAAAGACAAAATCGTTCGCGTTGTATCCGTGCGAACTTCTAAAGGAGTATACCAGCGACCCATCACAAGTGTGCGTTCTACCTATTGAATAATAGCGACAAGTATATTATAAGTTCTATGTATTTTTTTTTGTTTAACTCATTGTAATACCGACTATGTCATTGTTTTGTAATATCATTTATGTAACAAACTCTCTATTTTTTTTGTTATTGAAAGCAGGTGCTTTCAAGGGCGGCGGTATGTTGCGTCTTATTGCGTCTTATATTGATTTGAATGTTTCGCGTATAAATTTTTATTTATGGTACTGTGCGATAGATCGGAAGAGCACAC